ATCTACAGCACTAATGCGTACTTATTTCCTCCAGGAATAGATAGATGCATTCCTGGAAGCCTTAATTCCAAGCAAAACATTTCATTGTCTGATAAACAGAATGTCGAACTAACCAGCATAAAAAATTAAATTACCCTTAAAATAAGTAGAGCACAAACACTAAAAGTGTGCAACACTTTACACTATTTAGTAGTAAATATAAAATATATATATATTAAACAATACAAAATAGGATTAGCATAATTTAGCAGTATTTAGTGGTATTTATGTGGCACACTTATAGTGTTAATACTCTACTTTTTTATAAAATAAACAATTATTAGTCAATAAGTACTTATAAATCTTATATTACAATTATTAGTTAACTACATATAAATCTTATAATAAATCTCAATATAAAACAAAATACAACGCTTTAAGATGTCATACAAAATTAAAAAAAGAAATGGAAAACTTTACAAGATGATGTTAACCAGACCTTAACACTATGAAAACTAATTTCAAATTACTACAAACTTGCAGAATAATCAAAAATGTTTAACTAGATAAATATCTGGTGTTGTTATAGGATTAAACAGACAAAGAAATCGAAAAGGAAAGGTCAATTTTACAATGGTTTCAACACCAGCAAAAATGTTTAGATAATAATGCTATCTGTAAGAGAAACCAAGAACAAGTTTGCATATGCTGAGAAGTTAAGTTACGCTCCAACTCTTGTCTAAATATTCATGCAAATTTTGAAGCAAATGAATAAATAAATATTATTACTTAGAGTGAAAGATGACACAGAACATAGGCAGCGTGGAACACCGCATCAAGTAATGAATTGGCAATATTTCAAGACAGGAATTCATAGGAATGTTTCAACTTAAAGAACGGTCTTAGACATATTGATTACATTTCTAAATGATAAAGGAAATATCACTTACTTTTAAGTCTGTATGAGCATTTGAAGGAGGCTTTTCTTTAAAATCAACATAAACTAAGTGAGAAAGAAGAGCAAAATACCTCACAATGTTCTATTGCCCAATTAAGGAAATACAGCTTTGATTTGTCATTAACTAGAGCTCATGTGAGGCTATCTTAAGGTCAAAGGTTAAGTACACAGGCATGTAGTGATGTAATACTTTAAAACTGATGCCAAAATAGCACAATATACATATATCTTAGTAACTTTTTAGACTTTCTTGTAATTCAAACATTATAATATTAGGAATTTTGTAATGTCAGGGCACACTTTCAGGTTAGCCAAAGCCTTGAGCATCCTAAAAGTCAAGAAACTGGCAGCCTCTATTTTGACAGAATAGAAATTTATTCTGGTGTAATTAATGGAGAAAAAAAACGAACAAAATTCAATTAAAGGGTTAAACTAAATTGAACTTTAGTTTTTTTTGTTTTATAATTGGTTCGGCAAATAATTGAACAAAATCAAACTGGGACATTTGGTGAATTTGATTAAGTTCCACATGGTTTGATTTAGCTTAATTTGGTTCAATTAAGAATTGTTTGATTATTGAACATTTGTTTGTATAGAATTACCATCATGTTTTGGCAAGATTAAGTTTGGTACAGTTTAATTTGGGTTGATTGATTACCATGTTAAATGGATAATATATAAATATATAAAATAGATTAATAAAACATCGTTCGTGATGAGGTAACCACTTAAAATTCAAGGACTATTCAAGGACTATTCAAGGAGTATAGACAAGGACCCAAAAAATGAATTTTGAAAGAGTATGTTCAGTTAACTATGCCAAGGTTTTACACGGTGGTTGCACATGGCCGACTTTCAGATTTCCCAATCTTTTTGATTAGATCTACTGTATTTCAGAACCACGGCCCACGGCAGTAATGATCAAAGCAAAAATTCAAGTTTTTAAGGAGTTTTGCTAAAATTGTAAAGTGCCCTTGAAAACGTGAATTAAATTCAAGGAGTTTAAGGAGTAGCACGAACCCTGATAATACATGAATTAAAAACTAACTAAATAAATAAACAAATTGACTAACTGACTGACTGACTGACTGGC